CCAATGAAACATTAGTAAGTACACATAATAACCAATGAAACATTAGTAAGTACACATAATAACCAATGAAACATTAGTAAGTACACATAATAACCAATGAAACATTAGTAAGTACACATAATAACCAATGAAACATTAGTAAGTACACATAATAACCAATGAAACATTAGTAAGTACACATAATAACCAATGAAACATTAGTAGCTACACATAATAACCAATGAAACATTAGTAAGTACACATAATAACCAATGAAACATTAGTAAGTACACATAATAACCAATGAAACATTAGTAAGTACACATAATAACCAATGAAACATTAGTAACTACACATAATAACCAATGAAACATTAGTAGCTACACATAATAACCAATGAAACATTAGTAACTACACACAATAACCAATGAAACAGTAGTAACTACACATAATAACCAATGAAACATTAGTAGCTACACATAATAACCGTTGGATTAATCTATATTTTATATGAGGAACCTTTCTTTGAAGGCTCGTTAATTTGGTAATAAAAATTTAAAAGACAATTTTGCTTTTCTGCAAGCCCTATTAAAGAACAAAACCTTAACGTATAATTAAAATGCAATGAATATCTAGTTAAACACATATTTCCATAACAAACATTAACATATTGTGATGCATTTCATATAATGTGCACGGAACATATGTATTTGTTATATGTACACTGAGAAAAATATCGTGAGACATTATACACATTTCTGTTATTTACATTGTAGATGGCTTGTGTAGAATGTTATATATATATATATATATATATATATTAATATTATTGTGAAGATGGCTGATTTAAAAGATTAGAAGTGGCGTACGTAGAACGTCATATATATATTAGTATCATTGTGAAGATGGCTGAAGTCAAACACAATATCAGTCGTGCTTGCATTATAGATGGCGTACGTAGAATGTTATATATGTATTAATATTATTGTGAAGTAGTAGTGCTTACAGTAGAGATGGCGTATGTAGAACGTCATATATATATTAGTATTATTGTGATGATGGCTGAAGTAAAACATTTACTTTGTAGATGGCGTATATAGAACGTTACACATATATTAGTATCACTATAAAGATAGCTGATTTAATAAACTTTGTACACATCAGTAGTACTTACATTGTAGATGGCGTATATAAACGGATTGTAACAGGAATTACTCATGGCAAGCCAATGACAGCAAAACCATATGACGTTAATATACTTATAGCTGAAAGAAACATAACATTATTAGAAATATATTAGAATACTTTAACATTAAAGTAAATACACAAGACGTTTTTAAACTTTCTATTTAATGATAACACAGGCCTGCGATGGTTTTTATTGTCTTGAAATTTTTACATGTTCTACAGTAATTCCTGTACGCTGAATCAAAAATGATGTCCATTTTTCTCCCACGTACAGATTTTCACAAAACGTCATATGTAAATTTACATAAGTGAATCATTTTTAAGATATAATGTATAAATTGATGTATACATTTCTTATGGGATTTTGTTTGTTTGTTGCTAAGCTCAAAGCTACGCAATGCTGTGCCCACCAACGTATCAAAACCAGGTTTTTAGCGTTGTAAGCTTTGAGACTTACCGTAGACCGTTGGGAGCTCTTATGGAGTCTAATACTAATATTTTATACATTTGAAATAATTGTAAAGAGTTACTAAAATAAATCTGGGTGAAAACGGCAGTAAATTGTTATTCATTAATTTATAACGATTTATAATAATTCACAGATTACACAAGCCTGATAATCTAAACTTTATAAAAGTTGTTGTGGTTTTAATGACAGGTTGTCCATAATTCAGTTACGCAGATTTCGAAAATAATATTCATTTTTTTTCTATCACGTAAGGATCTTTTACAAATTGGGAGGAAAAAAACTCTTACTTAGATCAAATTATTATTTCGTTTACCACAATGAACATTTATTATTTTAGTTATGTTTGGCTTCTAGAACAATCGATAAGACTCTCGCGTCGCGATTGATCTAGAGAAGTCTATATCCAGTGGGTGTCAGCATTTTAAGCATAACTAGCCCAAGAGTTAGCGGTGAGTGCTATGGACTGTCTGCTTTCCCTCTAGTCTGTCGTTTCAAAATTATGGATATCTTGTGTCGCTTTGCGCGAATATCTGAAATAAACAAAGAAAATAATAAATATCTGCGTCGTAAAAATATTCCGGTTATAAAAATGCAAAAATATTCCGGTTATAAAAATGCAAAAAAATACCATTCATTTTAAAATTATTATTAAACTTAGGATTGATTAAATATATAAAGTCTGAACCTCAAGTTGAGAATGAACATACCAGCATACTATCTCGTACGTACGAGATAATATGCTGGTATGTCAATAGATATGGATAACTATTTAAATACAAGAATCACAAATTTATTATGTCTTTATAATTAAGCCAAGTTTAATTTAGACTAGTACATAGTTTCACACATAATGGAGAATTTTCAAACCGTCCTGTTATAAAACACAGGTTGATATAGGGCAGGGAAGTGTCTGTCACGGTCGTGTGGTATGTGTTAGTATGTAAGAGATAATCTTTTTATTATTATTATTATTCTTCATCTTGCGGTTCATGGCTTTCTTAGTGTTACTTTGTTATTTCAAAATTTCATAAAAATACTCTAATCGAATAACTAGGATTTGACGGTCACTCTTATAACGAACCAACTTCTCGAAAGTGTGGAAGTCGTTTTTGCGCTAACAGAACACGAATTCGGATTCACTGTTCGTCACGCTAACCACTTTGTCACGTCCAGCCCAATATTATCGTGAAACATTAAAGTATGTCTGAAGGCTTATATCGTTAAAAAATGGGTTTCGAGCAAAGATAGCCCATGTTTTTATGTTTCTTGTTCTGTTTCGTGTGTTTGATGGTAAAAACTGGTGAAATCATTGTGAAGTGTAACAGTTTAGTATCTGGGATTTGCAGTATATTTATCTGAGAAACGTTTAACACATGGCCCGGCATGGCCAGGTGATTAGGGCGCTCGACTCGCTATCTGCGGGTCGCGGGATCGAATCCCCGTTACACCAAACATGCTCGCCCTTTCAGCCGTGGGGGCGTTATAATGTGATGGTAAAAGAGTAGCCCAAGAGTTGGCGGTGGGTGGTGATGACTAGCTGCCTTCCTTCTAGTATTACACTACTAAATTAGGGACGGCTAGCGCAGATAGCCCTCGTGTAGCTTTGCGCGAAATTCAAAAAACAAACAAATGTTTAACACAATGTTCTAAAATCAATGTTTTGTATAACGTCCCTTTCATGTATTTTGTTATTCTTATTTAAAGTCGATAGCAAATTTATTCCTGTGAAATTTCAAATGATATTCTTAGAACAAGCTGACTAGAATATCTAGACACCTTAGCAATCTGTAAAGGATAAAAAAACTACACGTATGCTCAGAACTCTTTTTAACTCATTATCACTCATTTTTTGTTGTATATCCTTTGTTACAAATTAGCGCAAAGTTACACAAAACCCTATCTGTAATGTGTTCAATGAAGGGATCGAGCCCTGAATTTTGGTGTAATAAGTCTTAAAGCTTATCTCTGATCCACTGGGGGCGTTTTAAAGAAGTATTCGATAATATCTGTGTTCAAAACCAAAAACAAAATATTAGCAATAGGAATATCACAGTTTAGTTCCATGATATTTAATATGGTCCTTATTTCTCTGGTGAACTTGTTTGATCAAAACGATTACCAAATATTTTCCTTCCTTTGATTATAGCGGTATTATTCAGTCAAAACGATGAACATACACATCCCTTTCTGTAACAGCGTATTTCTTTGGGTGAAACGGTGACTACGTAGTACCTTTTACGTAGAGTGACATTAAATATTTCATTTTAGTTTTAGAAATTCTCAGGTAGCAGTAGATGCAATTGTTCCTTATTCGTGTTACTAAATTGCCGTAGAAGCGTGTGTTGTTTAAATATCTTACGTGTTCTTGGATAATATGGGCTTCTGTTTCATAATTCGTCTGATTTGAAAACTTTGCTCGTGCATTTTATCACAAACATACACAAACTTTGAACAACAATGAAGTATGTTTTGTTCAATTTAAATACATCTCTGTGAGTTCTCTGTACTAGTATTTGATAAACTATTTCAAGTCAATTTTGATTTTTTTATGATTTTAAGGATTTGTTTATTTGAAATTAAGCACAAAGCTACACAATGGGTTTATAGAGTTGTAAGTCAGCAGACATTCCGCTGTGCCACTGGGGGAGGGGGATTTCAAGAATTCGTTTTTTATTTCAAATTTCACAATAAATATAACACTTTATATTCCTTTGCTTAGTAGAGTGGGCAGAGAATGTTCCAGAAAACTGTTATTACGCATAAAACAAAATAAAAAGATTTGTTAGACACCATGAATGGCGTGGCTTCGCTGTGAATTAATTTTATTGCACGTGGTATCTGGTAAATACGCCTAGCGATGACGTTTAGTAACATTTACGTTATATCGTAATTTATGACTTTATACAATGGTGATATGAAATCAGTGTCAATTTCAAATATATTAAATACTCAAATGATTCGTAAATTCAAAAATATCTCATTCCCATTTATAGACCATTGAATAAAATCAGTCAAACATTAAATGAAATTAAAATCAATCTAATGGAGAAAACGGGTATTTATAAAATTGGATGTGACTATGTACACATTGGTCAAACTGGAAACTAGAAAATAAAAGTAAGAAGTCTGCACTAGCTGAAAGTGCAAATTATACTGGTCACGTGATCCAGTGGGAAAGAACTGTTATTCTGGGTAGAAATATTAGTGAAACACAGTAGAAATAATTATACTTTAAATAAGGATGAAGAGTTGGAAAATCAGAAACTATGTAGATGGCATAACCTTTTTAAGTATGTAAACTACGTAGTCACATGACCTTGGCTTTTTGTATTTATATGGTGACACAGTATTTGTTTTTCACACTCATGAGGATGACTTGAATCGACGTGAAAACATGAAGCGTGCTTTTTAAGACTGTTGATTATATTTGTGTACCAAACATCGTTTGAGTATTTCAATGTATTTTCAATATTTATACAAGTCCTTGGAATTTTAACCTTTTAACAGTTTTAGTTTTGTTTCGTCATAACGTAGCAATGTGCAATACTCCCCTCTATCCAAGTTATGGATTCTAATGTAACAATGTGAAACACTCCCCTATATCCAAGTTTTAGTTCTCAGTATTATGACTTTGGTGGTTAAACATATTGTAGGTGAACTACAATATGATAACATTTATATTGGAACTATTACGAAACTGGATCACAGGTTAAATAGGTGTTCGTGTATAGGATATAACCCTGGATGTTCAAGCGATTGTGCACTCGAACATAGCGTAATTAGTACAACTCATCAAGATTTTTTATTTATAATAAGAAAGCATATTTATTTGGTAGGATAAATATTGGAATAATGTATTCGGTTTTACTCAAGTTTAATAACAGAAAAGCGTAAAATTTGGTGCATATTTTTAAACATTGAATAACGGTCGTGATTTCGTTATCTTCTATATGTAAAATGGTTCTAGATTAAGTAGAAAAGACACTTAAAAGTATCACAAATCAACCCCCCCCTCTCTCTCTCATGTAGCATTACACATTTCTAACCTCCGTTCAGTCAGGTTTAAGAAAGCCTGGAATTGAACCACTTATGATAGTAAGCGCTAACTTCGCATTCACTTATGATAGTAAGCGCTAACTTCGCATTCTGAATTTTTATTTGCTAAGATTAAAATGCGATAATGATCTTTAATTGTCGAATAATACGTTTCTAATGCTACTAAATTTGTCAAAACTAAGTAAGGTTTATGTGGCGAAAATGAAAGTTTTTATTTCTACTATATATGCCTTTTTTTGTAATTCATAATCATAAGGACAGTGTATGGTGCAATCGCCCCTAGTTTTAAAGATGTGTCCAAAAACTGGCCGTTTAAAACTTTTTTGAACTTACTATAGTATTATGTAACATATTGTTATTTTTATTATTTCGTAAATATACTACCCCAGTGGCACAGCGGTAAGTGTGTGGGCTTATAACGCTAAAAACCAGGTTTCGATATCTGTTGTGGGCAAAGCATAGAGAGTTCGTTGTTTTGCTTTATGCTTAACAATAAACAAACATAAATGTACATACATATATAATGAATTACTTATATGTATATATAGATCTATTCAAATATAAGTTTGGCTTTTGAGAAGAATTCGATATAAGGCAAGGTTGTTGACAACCTTGGATATTTGGCGCCACTTCTTGTACCAATATAATTTTCTTTTGTACAATATGTTTTTAATTTTTCTAGTTATGTATTGCTTTCCACAGTAGAAAGGTGGTAATAAGCAAATCTGATATGAACTTCAAAGCTTTTACCAAAGGCGGGATTTTCATGATAGTTTGTATATTTGTAATAAGTTTGTTTGTTTTGTTTTTTTTAAATGTAGGACCAAATTCAAACGTAAACCTTTTTTTTTCAAAGATTTTCGACTTGTACGCCACTTAAGACCACAGTCATAATTTTTCTATTTGCATATTTTCTTCGCTTTTTATTTGTGATTTTTTAAAAACTGATTCATAATGAAAATATATTATAATGTCTGGAAAACATTTTATACGGATATTACTAGTTTTACTTATCACTAGTAATAAAATTAAGGTTGTCGGGAATTACAAGTATGTCACATTTAATGAAAACATTGGAAAACATTTTTTACTGTTATTACTAGTTTTATTTATAGCTAGTACTAAAACTAAGGATGTCGGGAGTTACGAGAATGTCACGTTTAATAAACTAGCTATATTTTAATCATTTCTCAAATGTGTTTAATTTCAAACATATTTAAATACAAAAATAACGAAAATTTTGAACCTTTCTAGCCGAGATCAGTCTCCAAATACGAGAAATACAATTTTCCTACTGGTCTCATGACGAGTTTGACATATTTGTTTTTTTGCTCAAAACGCGTGAATCTTTTCGCATAGCTGATAGAGAGACTGCTCTAAAAGTTCCATATGAACCAATTGTAACTGTCGCATAGCTGGTGGAAGACTGCTCTAAAATCTCCATATGGACTAATTGCTACTGTCACATAGCTGATGGAGAGACTGCTCTAAAATCTCCATATTGACCAATTGTAACTGTCACATAGCTGATAGAGAGACTGCTCTAAAAGTTCCATATGAACCAATTGCAACTGTCGCATAGCTGGTGGAAGACTGCTCTAAAATCTCCATATGAACTAATTGCTACTGTCACAAAGCTGATGGAGAGACTGCTCTAAAAGCTCCATAGAGACCAATTGCAACTGTCAACACTAAAACAAACAAACAAACAAAATCACAACCAATGGCGCAGATAATATATTGATTGTTCAAGTAAGCTACTTTCGGTTTAAGAAAGATTCTGGTTCACACATATTTGTTTTAATATTAAGTAAGAAACCAGAATCTTTCCACGAAAGGTTATCGATGTGTCGTTTGTATATTATACTCGACTGTGATCGTGTTTGCCACGCTTGTCACTCTGAGGTAAACTTCAATAAACAGTGATGGTTTAGGAGTATCGTTATACCTGACTGTGATTATGTTTATCAATTTTTTTCAATGAGGAAATATGAAAATATGCATACTCCAAATACGCATCTTGGTGATAAGGAAGTAATAATTATCGTTTGGCTTATTTTAACTTTAATCTTAAATCACTATTCTAAAAAAATTGAAATATTTGATTAAAAAAGGAAATGATATAAAACGCAGTGCTTAACAGACTTAAATTTGATACAACAACATAGGAGTTAAACCTTTGTAAAGAAAAAACACTATCTCCTCGATATCGGTTAGGTAAAGCATGACTAACTAAATGAGTAAAACACAGTTAATGCTAAATGAATATATAATTTTACATTTTGTACACAGTGTTGGATATAATTCCTAAAGGACTTGCATACTTCGATAAAAAATATATAAAAGTGTTTACTTATTAATTTGTGGGAATATCTCCTGCAGTAGGTTGTAACTTTGAAATGGTAGCCAGCAGAAGGAGAAGAGGGCAACAACGATAGCAAGCATTTTGATGACCTACCAGGATAAAAATATATATAAGTATATGCTACAACAATATCATAAAACATTAAACAGCTTAGAAACATTTTATAGATAAATTATAATATAAAAGTTATTTGTCAACAGGTAATTTCCTTCTTCTGTTCTAATCAGAAACATTAGAATTATATAATTTATTTCAGAACTTTATATATATAAGAGAAGTCTAACTGTAACAAGAAGTCCTTTCTTAAAGTTGGTTGAATAGTTTATCTTGAATACGAAATTTAATATGCATCCATGTTAAATAAATTATTCAAGTTAAAATTATTTCCATCTTCTTTATAGATACACATATATATATATTTTTTTCATATATTTGCGAAAAGTTACTGAAACGTCCCTAATCTTGCAGTGATAGACTAGACGGAAAGTAGGTAGTCAATAGCACCCAACGCCACTTCTTGGATTACTCTTGTCCGACCGAATAGTGGGATCTGATCGTCACCCTTATAACGCACCAAAAACGAAAGGAGTGCAATTTTTTCTTGTATATGGCAACAAAACACGAATACTGGACCCGCAGATCCCTAGTCCCGTACGCTAAACATTGGACTACATTTGAACCAAATTGTTTAGAATATGTATATCGATATGAATATGTATATTTCAACATTTTGAGTGTTTGTTTGTTTTGAAGTTAAGCACAAAGCTACACAATGGGCTATCTGTGCTCTGCCCACCACAAATATCGAAACCCGAATTCTAGCATTGTAAGTCCGTAGACATACCGCTGTGCCATTAGGAGGCAAACATTTTGAGTGATAGAAACTATTGACTCAACACTTGGTGACTTTAAAGTTCATTAACATAGACGATATCATGATGGTATAAGTAATGCAAACTTTATTATTTACACGTTTGATACAGCTTAAACATCCTTTAGTTTCTATAAATCTTCTTCCTAAAAAGTGTTGGGAAAGAAGGGTTATATAATATGCACAAATTATAAAAATCTAAGTTTTTTTACTTCCTTTACAATATGATTAAATGATTATTATTATGGAAGTCTGATTTCCTATTGGGTACCGTAATACAGTTGGGTTTTAAGTTAGTGAAGTCATGAACGTTTCGCTATTTTCTCATAAGTTTTCCTTTGTTTGAAACTGATCTTCATGATTTGTCTATAACACCACATTTCAAATGCCTCAAACTATCGTTTTGTTTCCTCGGATAGGTCCACGTTTCCACTCCATTGAGTAGGACTGGCCATATGTAATATGTTAGTTGAATCATCTTCAATTCTAGCTTGACATCTCTCATGATCAATTGTTTGAGGTTGAACTATTTTGTTCTTGCCATTCCTATACTTTGGGTTATCTGTTTTCAACACTTGCCATCACTCCAGTTCATTCAACTTTTTACCTTCTACTTTGATGTATATTCTGGAAGATAGGGAAGTATATAACTATCTGGGACTGGAAATAGTTATAAGTAAAGTCAGTGTAAGCATTAGTGCTTTCCTGTCACCCTGGACAAAATAAGAAAATGTACTTTTAGATTTATGTAGGCTACAGGTAACTTAGCGACACGGAGCTAAAAATAAAGTGTACTGTTCTAAATGGTAGGCCATGTACATTTATGTTGCACATGGTTACCTATTTTAACTTCAAATCTTACATTTTCATTGAAAATCAAACATCTAGAATATTGAATGCGCCTTATACATGAAAAAAAAAGATATTCAATTTTCACTTAAAATTCACTGTTCGAGCTTTTAACGAATTGAAAACTCGAAAAATTCTTTTAATGATTCATCCATCCGATGTTCAATCGATATGATGGAAAGACCGACCAACTGAACGTTTCTATATATATCTCAGATTAGTTTTGATTACTTTCAGTTTTGAGAAGTTTCTTTCTCCACCAGCAGAAAGATCGACCAACTGAACGTTTCTATATATATCTCAGATTAGTTTTGATTACTTTCAGTTTTGAGAAGTTTCTTTCTCCACCAGCAGAAAGATCGACCAACTGAACGTTT